AGTTACGTCGATGCAAGATTTAACACCGATCTGGATGACTCTGAGTCTCAATCTAGATACATATCGAAAGTGGGAGCAATCAGCTAGAGTAGCTCCATGTGGAGTATTGTAGACATAGAAATTTGCAAAATACATACGGATTTGAATGTGGCAGACCCGTTGACTAAACTTCTCCCACAAGCAAAACATGATCACACCTTAGTACTCTTTGGGTGTTAATCACATGGCGATGTGAACTAGATTATTGACTCTAGTAAACCCTTTGGGTGTTGGTCACATGGCGATGTGAACTATGGGTGTTAATCACATGGTGATGGGAACTATTGGTGTTTGAATCACATGGCGATGTGAACTAGATTATTGACTCTAGTGCAAGTGGGAGACTGAAGGAAATATGCCCTATAGGCAATAATAAAGTTGTTGTTTATATTTCCTTATATCATGATAAATGTTTATTACTCATGCTAGAATTGTATTAACCGGAAACTTAGTACATGTGTGAATACATAGACAAAATAGAGTGTCCCTAGTATGCCTCTACTTGACTAGCTCGATAATCAAAGATGGTTATGTTTCCTAACCATAGACATGTGTTGTCATTTGATGAACGGGATCACATCATTAGAGAATGATGTGATGGACAAGACCCATCCGTTAGCTTAGCATAATGATCGTTAAGTTTTATTGCTATTGCTTTCTTCATGACTTATACATATTCCTCTAACTATGAGATTATGCAACTCCCGAATACCGAAGGAACACCTTGTGTGCTATCAAATGTCACAACGTAACTGGGTGATTATAAAGATTCTCTACAGGTGTCCCCGAAGGTGTTTGTTGGGTTGGCATAGATCAAGATTAGGATTTGTCACTCCAAGTATCAGAGAGGTATCTCTGGGCCCTCTCGGTAATGCACATCACTATAAGCCTTGCAAGCAATGTGACTAATGAGTTAGTTGCGGGATGATGCATTACAGAACGAGTAAAGGGACTTGCCGGTAACGAGATTGAACTAGGTATGATGATACCGACGATCGAATCTTGGGCAAGTACCATACTGATGACAAAGGGAATAATGTATGTTGTCATTACGGTACGACCGATAAAGATCTTAGTAGAATATGTAGGAACCAATATGAGCATCCAGGTTCCGCTATTGGTTATTGACCGAAGATGTGTCTCGGTCATGTCTACATAGTTCTCAAACCCGTAGGGTCCGCACGCTTAACGTTTGATGACAATTTGTATTATGAGTTATGTGTTTTGGTGACCGAAGTTTGTTCGGAGTCCCAGATGAGATCACGGACATGACGAGGAGTCTCGAAATGGTTGAGAGGTAAAGATTGATATATTGGAAGGTAGTATTCAGACACCGGAAGGGTTCCAGAGTGTATCGGGTACATACGGGAGTACCGGAGGGGTTACCGAAACCTCCCGAGGAAAGATATGGGTCATATGGGCCATAGGAGGGAGGCTAACCAGCCCACAAGGGGATGGCACGCCCCCCACAATGGAGGAGGCCGAATTGGATTAGGGAAGGGGCGGCGACCCCCTTTCCTTCTCCTACTCCCTCTCCTTCCCCCCTTTCCCCCTCCGGAAGAAGGAAAAAAAGGGGGTTGAATCCTACTAGGACTGGAGTCCTAGTAGGACTCCCCTCTCCCTGGCACGCCCCTTTGTGGCCAGCCTCCTCCTCCCCTCCTTTATATACGGGGGGGCACCCCAAAGCACATCAATTGTTCTCTTAGTCGTGTGCGGTGCCCCCCTCCACAGTTTACTCCTCCGGTCATAGCGTCGTAGTGCTTAGGCGAAGCCCTGCGTGGATCACATCACCATCATTGTCACCACGTCGTCGTGCTGACGAAACTGTCCCTCAACCCTCTGCCAGATCAAGAGTTTGAGGGACATCATCGAGCTGAACGTGTGTTGAACACGAAGGTGTCGTACGTTCGGTACTAGATCGGCTGGATCGTGAAGATGTTCGACTACATCAACCGCGTTAACCTAACGTTTCCACTTTTGGTCTACGAGGGTACGTGGACACACTCTCTCCCTCTTGTTGCTATGCATCTCCTAGATGATCTTGCATGATCGTAGGATTTTTTTTGAAATTGCATGCTATGTTCCCCAACACTTTATTGGTCGAACCTTTATGACAACATACGTAATTCCCTTTGTCTCTCGGTATGTTACTTGCCCGAGATTCAGTTGTTGGTATCTTCATACCTAGTTCAATCTCATTACTGGCAAGTCTCTTTACTCGTTCCATAATAAACCATCTCGTAACTAACTTCTTAGTCACTTTGCTTGCAAGCTTCTTGTGATGTGTATTACCGAGAGGGCACAGAGATACATCTTCGATACATGGAGTGACAAATCCTAATCTTGATCCATGCCAACTCAACAGACACCTTCGAAGATACCTGTAGAGCATCTTTATGATCACCCAGTTACGTTGTGACATTTGATAGCACACAAGGTATTCCTCCGGTATCCGGGAGTTGCATGATCTCATAGTCGAAGGATCATGTATTTGACATTAAGAAAGCAATAACAATAAACTAAACGATCATATGCAACGGATGGGTCTTGTCTATCACATCATTCTTCTAATGATGTGATCCCGTTATCAAATGACAACTCATGTCTATGGTTAGGAAACCTTAACCATCTTTGATCAACGAGTTAGTCTAGTAGAGGCTCACTAGGGACACGGTATTTGTTTATGTATCCACACATGTATTTAAGTTTCCAGTCAATACAATTCTAGCATGAATAATAAACCTTTATCATGATTAAGGAAGTATAATAATAACCACTTTATTATTGCCTCTAGGGCATATTTCCATCACCACCAACTGGTCGGTGGGGTGAAGGCGCGTGGGCGGCCTTCCCCTCATAGCCCTTCCCTATGAAGGGCCCACAAGGGTGGCAGTACCAGTGGCGGTGCAGCTAGGACCCGAACCAACCCTGGGCTCTCTCTGCCCAGGGTTATCGGTGGCCGGGGCGCCCAGATACCCATGCTCCGCTTGAGCACGAGCCTCTGCAAGCGCCCCATCTAAGATCTCCTTTGCACAGATGGCAAAGATCTGTTCAAGGCGAGGGCCCTTCTCACCTCGGAACACAATGTCACATTCCGAGGCCACCTCCCTCGGGTAGGAGATTCTTGAACGTGGTTATTTTTCTTATATTAAATAAAATACAAACATAGACACACACATCACATACGCACTCTCACCTTTATGAATCGATCTTGCGAGTTACCTTCATGGATCGACCTTCCTTAATACCAATGGACGTGGTTGTTCATATCACATGTTATATTATGTGTTTACTTTCCCCCGCAAAAATATATATATATATATTATGTGTTTACTTTCATAGTTGCGTTCATGTTGCCGCTTTCTTGTGTTTTTCGATTGAGTGTTAGGTCAGGATACACGAGCCTCTTGAGGTCCTTTGCTCTCATTCACTTTACAAATTTTGTGGCAACTCTTTGACATGAGCCATTTCAAAATTTACTCCCCGTGTTGTTTTTGTTTTTAGGGTAATGATATGGCATTTGATTGAATAATTGAAAATGCTTGCATAATTTCCATCATTTTTATTTATGTCCAAGGGGCAGGGAGTTGTGGACTGCTATGTCTACTGTTTGGAGGCTTCCTGCGATTAAGAATGTTGTGCGTACTGGGAAGGAGTGGCTGCTCAATGCACCAGAACCTATGGGTGCTACAGAAGGTAGCATGTTCCTGTTGACACCGTGGAGAGCTTAGTTTATTCGCAACGAAATTGTTCATGATAAAGCTCCGCCGCCTCTTGAGGTCTCGAAACGCTTTCTCTGCAGTTATCTAGACACTCTAATCGCTATTAAGCATGACCCCTTCGCTGATTCATGCAAGGGAAAGTCGGTTTTGCACATGAATGTGATTTCCAGGTCACATGAACAATCGATCAAGATCGCTCAACCCTGCTGGAATGTGCCTCCTGCTGGGTGTATAAAATTAAACGTAGTTGGGTCATTCACACCGGATGGATCTACTGGTACTTGTATATGGTTTTGTGTGATAATGAGGGCGCAATTATATTTTCTTCATGCAAAGTTCTTTACTTTTGTCGGGACGCGCTCGAAGTTGAGCTTGGTGGGTCTTTCCCAAGCACTAATGAAAAGTAATCTACCTGTGATGATTGAGATGGATTCGCTAGAAGCTGTTCATATGATCCAGTTAGGCGACATTGATAGATCGATTTATTCTTGTTTGGTCGAGGAGATTAAGCTACTTCTAAAACTCCATAGAACTAGTATTACTCATGTTAGACATTCACGGAACATGGCTAGCAGTTGTTTAGCTTTTTTTGTTCGTATGGAAGGTAGAACATTGACATGGTTGGGGTCTGGCCCTCCTCCAGTGATTGACGGAAAAACTTCATATCATTTATAACCCTACATAATAAATTCCATAGAAAAATTCATGAGAAATAAAAACCTTCGATCTTGTTATGGAATTTCTGAGACTAAAAAATTGTCTATGACATCTGATGTCTTTTTGTTCATCTCGCGTGGGATCTATGCTGATACATAAGAGGAGAAAACAGTTTTTTTTACCTAGGAGCAGGAGTGCAGAAACCTACAAAACCTCCACCGAAGCTATTGCAGCAGCAATAAAACGTCAAGGCACGATTTCATTAAGAAGCAAAGACTCTCATCCATCAACAACTGCATTGTCATCTTAAAACTGCTCTTTTCAATGTTATTACTATCACAACCGAACCCAAACATGCATGTTATAGCAGTACAATCGCGTTTGCACAGGAGAACTGCTGAACATGTACACACAAATACATCACTGGTAATGTACATGTTTTTGTTTTTTTATGTCAAAGAAATGGAACAAGAAGATTTGTGCCAGTAAATTATTGGCGCAGATAGCCCAATCGCTCGACCATTCCTGTAGAGGACTCGGTAGCAGCCATGTTTAGTTCGGTTCAGCCTCAGTGTTTCCTTCTCAGTAGGGAACGATGATTGATTCGATGAGCTCCTGGAGGGGAGCCAGTTCTTTCTTGTCAATCAGCCCAAATTCCTGCACCACAAGCCAATAGATGTAAATTCTTAGCTACTTTTCTATTTTCCCAGCCAAGAGCAGATCCACGATGCTCGATGGCACAATCACTGTCAATGGTGAGAGACTCACGTTTGTAAACAGAATGAAGTGCTTGAAGCAGGTGTTAAGATGAGCCTCCTCCTTGAGGCTGACAATCTTCTGAAAATGGGAATGGTATATGTGGGCATAAACACGAAACAAGCGCTTGAAAATTGTGTTTACAACATCCTTGAAGTTGGGTGGAAATGGTGTGCCTGGATAAAGGAAAATAACCCAGATCAGGTAAACTTGACAGCTCCACTAATATGAAGTACTTTTGAGAAACTAATGATCCAGGATGCGGGCAACATACCAAGCTTCTGAGGAAATAAGGATTCATTGTCAAGCTGGCCTTCAATCCAGTCCATTAGGTACTCCACGTATTTTGGTGCTGACACTTCTATAGGCTTCTTTATCTGTACACCGTCAGCCCATCGGTACTCATACCTACATGAAGATAGCAATTCTTTTGTCATGAGATATCACCTAAATATTCAACTAATTATGAAGATAATTTAATCAGGGGATTATGGGCATGGGAAAGTCTAATTTATAATATATGGAGCGCTGTTTGCCTGCATCATACTGCTATTGAAATGCTATCACATCTTGGAAATTCGATTCTTTCAGAAAGGGGTGTAACCACGACTATCACATTAGTTAATGTTAAAACCTAATTATATATTTGCCACAAAATAATAATTACGGAGTACATCAGGACAAGTGAAAGTAGCAGGACACTGAAGAGAATTCTGGGTGTAGAATAACATGGAACCATGAGGAATATATTTGCCTGGCGCAGTAATCTTCCTAAACCAAAACCTAAGCATTAACACCCTGATAATTAGACAACATTGAGCCAAATTTAAATAACATTACAACCTTTTTTCTTTTCTTGTTCAAATATGACAAAGAACTTCATTTGTCTACTAGCTTCAAGTAAAGAAAGATAAATCAGCTTGCATATACTGCTGTATATGGTGCCATATTCCCTCCATTCCTAAAAAATAAGGCGTGAAACCTTTTTCGCAAGGACCAAGGCAGCTGCTTCTTACAAGTTTTAGACCATTTTGCCTCTGGTAAATCACACACTGAGCAGTTATTAGCACACCACGTACGCTGTGCATGACCAATAAGAGGCAGCTAGCTCTACACGGATTGACACTGGCCATTACTCTCTCGATGCATGCATGCGGGAATAATGGCAAGAGGAGGTGAGCAGTTCACAATGCAGCTAAGGCAAGCATGTCTTTAGAGGGGCAGAGTGCAGCATGGAGGGGCATATTCGGTAAATCAGAGTGGAAACAGGAGTGCACCCTGTTTAGTGGAATTCTGAGAAAAGTTTCACGCCTTGTTCTTAGGAATGGAGGGAGCATGGTTAGGGAAATAATTAAAGACACCATGAGTCACTTGTTAAGCTTTTAGCATAAACATGGACAAAGAAATTAAACATGCACTCAGTAGAAGCCTTCACTAGTTATAAAATAAGATGTCAATTTAGAAGATCTACAGCAGATAATGACTAGGTGCTATAAATTGCAGCACCTTAAAACAATTTATCAAAATTAAATAGCAATCCATGAAGAGACTAAAAAGGCTTCCAACTTGTTCCTTTTTGAGAAGTTCAAAGAATGAGAATAATGGACAAGCGTACTTTGGGCCTGCAGTCATTGTTGGGCAGCTCTCGGAAGTGCAGAACTCTGTGAGTGTGCCATACAGCAGGTTAACTTGATTAAAGAAATCCACAGCTGAGAAGCAAAACACACATGTTAGCTCTAGTGAATTTACTGGTTTCAATAACATTTTTTACAGCAGTATTATTCAGTACCAACCACAGAATATTCTAGATCCAAAAAATATATATAGAAAGAAATATGTCAAGTATGGGTCACGGCAAAAAGGAAACTGAAGAACATTACTATTAACAGCAAGCCATTCATTGATATCCTCTCCAGGAGGCAGCCTCACAGCTTCCCTAAGGTTTCCACTGCCGAGCGTTGCATCTATGTGCTTTCGGAGCTGTGCCCCCTGCAGATAAAAAAAGGAAGACAATAAATGGATACTATCAAATTATGTACGGCATTACTCACGGTGTAACCTAAATGTTTCCTCCCAGTTTCTGAGTGGCGTATATAACTAGCAAACTGTGGCAAATTTAATATACTGAGGACACCCCAGAGATGGATGTTCATTCCATGTAGCAAATCTAGTGATGGAAGTACATTTTATGCCTAAATCTGCACCCATCTTTGGTGATTCAGGAACACAGTACAAGTAATAAAGATTGAATCTGCTAATCAACGACAAATGAGCATTGCTTAAGGCTTAGCCATCAATCCAGCACAAGTATTTGCAGACCAAACTCACCCTGAGCCGTGGCAGGTTTGTAAAACGCCCCATTTCCCATACAAACATGACGTACAATGAGTTACGATTCATTTCCATGATGTACTTCTATTAAAGGAATCCACTGCAGTGGATATATGATACAATGGATCGAATCTGAGAAGTTCGATACGACGAAATGTTTGATACTGCCTTTTAGGAATAGATGGGACCATGGGAGTATAGTAGGAACATTGACCATGCACTAAAACCTTTTCGCTTACCTGAACATAACAAAAACACCAAGCTCATGTCTATGTCGATGAAAGCCAACAAGAATATCAATCGAGTAACATGGTGTTTGACTTTGGAGAAGTTTGAACTAAAAGTAGATGAATCACAATTTGTCTACTTTACTTTTAAAACAAGTTCAATTCCCTGATTTATCATCACCAGTCCATGTATACCTAACAATAAAATATATTCCGCAATCCTCAAGTTCATGTAAACAATTGACTTGTTCTAGCTCCACCATATACATTTCCAATGACAAGCAAAATGTGCATGCCCCATAGATAGGTTATGACAACCAATGAAAGGCCTGGATGTAGCACCATTTAAGTAACACTAGTTATGACTATAAATAACCGCCTACTTACTACTTAGCCAAGAACCTGTTCATCTCCCAATCAACTCACACCACCACCGTAAACCACACAAATCTTGTAATGCAACTGGAATTTTACCATGCATGGGGATAATTGCGAGCGAACGAGGAGGAATTTTAGGTGAGAACTCAACCCACTCGTTGCTCTCTTCATCCCGCTGCGGAGAATCTCGCAAATCTGATATCAGTTGTAATGCCTGACTTGATACAGATAACAATTGTTTGTGGGATACAATCAGCCATGGTTGTTTGTGGATGCAACTTGTCACAAAATGAGGGAGCAAGAGACGCAGAGAGGACAGAGTAGAGTTCTACTTTCAGTTCATTCAATACATGCCGATCTCCTGGTTACAAGTTAGTTACTAACAACACCTGCTCATGCAACACGCGGCCACCCACTCCACACCTCACGCTCGAGTCACGTGCTCGAAGACGTATTGTTCAGTGGCCCCTTCCCCTTGTCAGACATGGAATTCCTTCCAGTCATTACATCAGGCTCCTATACGAGCAGACCAAATCTCTGTTTTTGAGTCGCTCGACTAGTCGCGACTAGTCGTCGACTAGTCTATGAGTCGCACTGGCAGGGTCGACTCAGCCTGGCGACTCGACTCATGGGATGAGTCGAGCGACTCGAGCGACTAGTCACGACTAGTCGTGTTTTCTGGGTCGAACGACTCAATTTTTTTGGGCCCGCCTGTCATATGTTTTTTTACTGTATCGAACCATCCCCCGTGGAAACCTAGATCGAACCTGTTCCCCTCCCACGACCCAACCCTCTCCTTGGCAGCCGCCGCCGCACCTAGTTGCTGGCTTGCTGCTCCTTCCCTGGTTGCTGCTGCTGGTCTGCTCCTCCCCTGGTTGCTGCTCTTGCTGGTCTGCTCCTCCCCTCCTCCGCTGGTTGCTGCTGCTGGTCTGCTCCTCCCCTCATCCCCTGGTTGTTGCTTCTGCTGGTCTGCTCCTCCTCTCCTCCTCTGGTTGTTGTTATTGTTGGTGGTGGTGGTCTGCTCCTCCCCTGGTTGTGCATGAACAAGGGTGGTTGTGCATGATGAAGAGTTGAGGGATGAATTGGAACCACTCAAGAACAAGGCTGGTTTTATTGTACCTACTTTCTACTGCTTAACTCACGTCGACTCGTCGCATGTCGACTCATCGACCATGAGTCTAGACTAGTCACGACTAGTCTAGAGTCGCTCCCCCCGAGCGACTCGTCGACTCATCGACTCGAAAACCTTGGACCAAATTCCTTTCGTCGATGAAAACATACTAACATAGCAATTTCTATACACATACTACAGATGCTAGGATACTGAAATGCTGTGATTCACTGCCATTTGTTCTTGTTGGTACCGAATACAGTTGAATCAGAGACTTGGGAGGTCAGTTTCCTCACCTTGCTGCCTGATGGAGCACTTTTCTTGGGACGGAACGTCTTCTGATTCCTGGCGAAAAGGGAGAAGGGATTGTCAGGGTGATTGCGTCAAGAAGCAAAACAGGCCGGGAAGAGAACGAAGTTGAGCATAGCAGCAAAATTGCGGGAAACTAACAGCCAATGTATTACTACTCCATAGCAGCAAAATTGCGGGAAACAAACAGCTAATGTATTACTACTCCATCAGGCATCATACAAAACCATGAAATCCGTCATAAACTGCATAGATCGGAGAGAAACAGCGATTTCGTTCTGTAAATCAGCAACTAACTCCGAGCAAGCTAGGGCTTGTCACCAACTGAAGAAAACAGTCCTGCTCCGAACGGATCTCCTCTCCAGTCCAGTGCAACGGACGAGTACGACGGGAATTTCCTGGAGACGTGGCGCGCTTCGGTCGAAGGAGATCCCGACGCGTGTTCGCCGGAGAGGGTTCAACGACGCATGGGGGTGAAGAACAGCAGGATCGTGGAACAGAGCAAAGCAAAGGGGGAGGGGGGCGGGGGGCGGGGAGCTGGGGCTCACCGTCCGAGGCCGAAGAGACTCATCCCGCCGCCGCTTCCTCCTGGTCGGCCGGTCGCTCTCCCCTTCCGATCCGAGGAAGAAAGCAGGAGGGAGCTGCTGCTACTACTGCGGGGTGGAGGTAGGAAGGAAGGCTGCGTGCGAGTGCGACTCAGACAAAAATGATTTGGCCGCGGTCGCTGGCTGGCTCGTCAGCGCATGATGCGGCGCCGCGGGGCATCATGGGCCGGCGCGGTGGCAGCAGGGGCCGTCGGATATGGGGGACGGACGGCGGATGGCCGCGGCCTGGCTGGCATCCATGATCCCGCACCCGAGATTCCGGAGCCGGATCAAGATCTGGCTCCGCTGAGTAAAAGCATCTACGACCGGACCTCTCAAACCCGTCTCGTACGTTCAGGCCATTGTCCGGTCACGATTTTTTGACCTGGACAAGCTCCTTAAACGGGTCTCAAACGTCCGGGCTGACCGGCACCCTTCATATCTAGTTTAAATATGGGGCGAATATGGGGGCGTCCGGGCACGCCCGGACACGCCCGCCACGTCGGACCCGACAGCCTGACCTCACCCTAAATTGCACCAAATCCACCAAACCCTTCCTCCTCCTCCTGCCGCCGCGCCCGAACCCTCGCCATTCTCCACCTTTGCTCTCAATCCTCACCTCCAGTCCCTATCCACCGCCGGAGATGTCGTCCAGCCCGACCCACACCGTCGCAACAAAGACGCGGTCCGCCTCATCCGTCGACGGTGTAATTCGTCGGTTGCGACTTGCAAGGCGGAGAACGTCGCCCGCAAGTTGTGGCGACGCCGGCAGCGAGAGAGGGAGGCGGCAGTGGCGGCGCAGGAAGGATCGGACGTGGTGGATCAGCTTTCTCCTCAGCCGCGCCCGGATCCCCGCACCCCTTCCCTCCGAGCGCCTACGCTAATTACGCCGTCCGACACCATTGGGATAGAGGATGATCCGACCGCCTGCTGGGCCATTCTGGAGAGCTTTGCGACCATGCAGATGTCGGCGGTCGACGTGTGTGACTCGCCGCGGCTCGTTCGGGCGCGGATGAGCACGGGCTCCAACAATGCCCGGGTTGCCCTTGACATGTTCGACGGAATGACCGAACAAGAGTCGGTGTGTTTTCTTTGCTCTTGTCCGATCAGATTTTAGCATAGACTACTAGTTCATTTCGCTCATGATGAATGATTGTATAATCATGTAGGAGGCGTTCTTGTCGAACATGATCAATGACAATGAAGATCCGACCGAAATGAAGTATGAATTGGAGGCCACCACCGCATTTGAAGTTGGGACAACACTGATCCCAATCCGAGCAAGAAGAAGAAGAAGAAGAAGAAGACCAAAACGCCGAAGGCAAGAGGTCCGGCATTCTCAAGATTTGAGGACATCCTGTTGGTCAAAGCTTGGTTGGCCACAACGCTGGATCCAATATGCGGGCACCGAGCAAAAAGGGAACAATTATTGGACGAAGATTTGGAAGGAGTATCACGAGCAAAAGGAGTATGTGAAGCCGCATCCTATCATGACCACTCGCAATGTGGCATCTCTCGAACATCGTTGGGGGGTCATTCAAGGGAAAGTGAACAAGTACGTCGGCTACTACTCACAAGTGACCAAACGCCCTCAAAGTGGGATGGGAGTCGCAACTCATGTAAGCTTGATCGCCTCACCTTGTCGTCCATTGCATATGCTTCTTGTGTTTGCATTCTCGTACTCATACATATGTTGTTTGCTAGACGGCGGTGACGGCCACTTTGTATCACGAGGTGGAGAAGAAGTCATTTGCTTTTAGCCATTGTTGGGTCATACTGAATGGCAAGCCGAAGTGGAACCAAGTTGTGGATGACCTCAAGTCTGGCAAGAAGAGGAATGATGGCTCAAGTTCCAACCAATCAATTGGGTTGGACGATGTTGTCGTGGCGAATGGAAAAGTCACCGTGCCAAAGGACAACCACCAAGTCAAGGGAAACAAGTGGGAGAAGGCACGTGCCGCCCGTGATGCCGCTGCTACCAAAATGTCATCCACATGGACGGGCATTTTTTCGGTGAGGGAGAACAAGAAGGAGGAGAGGTACAAGCTCATGTTGGATGCGCAAAAGGAAAGGATGGAGTGGGACCGGAAGAGGGCGGAGAAGAAGCTGGAAATTGAGAGGGAGAAGATCGAGTTGGAAAGAAACAAGTGGCGATCAAATGGGAGCTCGAGAAGGCTAAGAAATTTGGCGACATAGAGCTTGAGAAGGAGAGGTTGCAACTCGCACGGGACATGGAAGATGTGAGGATCATGTTGGCGGACAAGGCCCTCTTGGATGAGCATGCGAAGAAGTGGCTTGCGGACAAGAAGAAGGATATTAACAACCGTATGGACTACGAGGCGGGGGGCGGCTGCGGCCTGGATGCAGGTGGAGGAGGTTGCCCAGATGCAAGCAGAGCAGGACGAGCAGGACGCATTCTGCCTAGAGCAGGACGCCTTCCGCTCGGAACAGGTGCCCAGCTAGTGA